ACAGAATAATAGGGTGGTACCCNGTTCTTTTTAAGGGTGCAACGCTCTTCTGAATTTGAAATTAGTAGTAGTATATAAGGAGGCTGCCCCTCTTGTCCAACTGTATGAACCTGACCCCCCACTGAATCACAGACCTCTCAGCAGTCACAAAGCAGTGTGATTCTTGAGAACTAAGTGTATATCTGACTGAAGTACCTAAGAGTGAGGCTGAAATAGTTGAGGATTGGAACCTCGTTATTCTCACCTACTTTGACTGTATCAAGCCGGACCTACACTACCCCAAAACAACTCCAGTAACAACTCATTTGACCTGAATCTATAGCCCCTTCAAACTTGCACTGCGGACAGTGTCGACACTATCTTTACCCTGATAGCGTCACTCTTTCTGCTCTGACATCTGGAGCCCACCGCGAGGGGGCATATTCGTCTCAAATAGTTCATCCTGGACGTTGACGCCCTACCCCCAACCATTGCCTCTCACCTTACCACTCTCAGAGAACCTCAGATAATGACATACGGCGAAGATCCCTTTTCTTCATCGGAGTCGGAGTCTACATGCTCTATCTCGGGCTCTCAGCCTGGGAGTCCAGCCCCACAAGAGACAATTCTTCCATCGAACGATACAGACAACTCTACCGACATCCCTCCCTCAACTCTCCCTCCTCATCATCCCCTCTTCCCTACCAACCCCTTCGTCACAGCACAGCGCAATATGGCAATGCTAACTACCCTGTCTGTGTTGGACATGCCTCCACCAAATACCAAGTATGCACCGCGCAAGTTCAAGGGAGCATCACATAGGATATTGGAGTTCATAACCACCTATGAGAAGCTTCTGCGGCGGAACAATGTCACGTCGGATAAGGAGCGATGTGAAGCAATACTTCCATACTGCTCCCATGTAGTACAGGAAGTCATTGAAGGCATGCAGGACTATGTCCAACCCAACTGGGAAGGACTGCGAGCAACCCTACTGCGATTCTACAATGCAGATCAGAGGAACCTGCGATTCACTGAGCAAGATCTGCAAGACTTTGTGAGAAAGCAACGGAGGAAACGGATCTCTAATATCTTTGTATTCAGGCGATATCTCTGCCGGTTCACACGGGTTGGCGGATGGTTGCTTGGAAGGAAAAAGATATCTGAAGAAACCTATAATCATGCTTTCTGGAAGGGACTGCCTAAGTCACTTCGGTCAAGCATTGAAGAACGGTTACTCAGCCAAAATCCAGATCTGGACCTTGCATCACCATTCTCAGTCAAAGATGTTGATGCAGCAGCAGAATATCTCCTGCGACAGGATCGGTTTGACGTCGACGACACAGACGATGATAGCTCAGGAACAGAGCGTCGGTGAAGACTGAAACATGAGTACCTGTCTGCAGGCAGTTCTTCAGATTCTGACTCACAGGCTGAGGAAAGCTCAGACGAGGACATAAGAGCAAAGAAGTATTGGCGGAACAAGAATAGGACCAAGAAGAAGGAGAAGTCTAAAGGTAAGGCAGTGCGGTTCGAGGACGACAGCAATGAAGCCAAGGCCTCAAAAGACATGCAAACAGCCACCGCTGCAAGCAAGGGTTCTAACAGCAAGAAATCATCACCAGAGCCTGTGGCGGAGGTTATAAGGCAAATGCAGAATATGTCCCTCGACAGCAAGGAATATGCAGTACGGTATTACCAGGCAATCAAGGCGGACGCAGATGCCAAACTTGTGCTTGCCGCACCAATATTGCGCATCCCACCAGCTCGAGCACCACAACAGGCATACCCTCTGCCGCCACCTCAAATACCTGTCAGTGCATCCGCTTACCAGGCACAGGCAACACCAATGATGGCCAGGCCCAGTGGATGCTTTGGGTGCGATGACCCTGGACATAGAATCCGAGAATGTCCTGCAATCAATAAACTGCTCGATGATAAGGTCATTATGCGCGGGGTCGACGGTCGCTTTGCAATGGCTGACGGCTCGCGGATACCCTGGCGTACCGGTGAAAGCTTAGTCAAAGCAATTGAGCATGCAACACCAGCGCAGGTGCACTTTGTCTCGGCCAGCGCACATGCAAGTTCAAGCGATGAAGAAGAGGAGCGCCCAGTGTTTGCTCTCACTCGCAGTCAAGGTCCTGCAGGAAAAGTGCGCGAAGGACGATTCGCAACAGTCTTTCCCAAAGGGACATCAGAGATGCGCCAGTCGAAGGGCAAAGAACCAGAACGAAGTTCACCAATAGCGTCTTCGTCCAGTCAGACTCTGGATAGCTTACGTCAGACTCCTATTGATGTTCATCCAAATCGGCGCGATCCCGATGATGATGAAATTATGGCAGATGGCGAAATACGAGAATCAAAAGTACGGGAAGGACACTCAGAACTTAGAATGCGCAAGGCAGCAGTGGTCGACCCTGAAGTACAAGCAAAACGAGACAAGTACATTGCAGAAATTCTTGGGGCATCTGTACAAATCCCTGTCGGTGTCCTGATGGAGTTTTCACCCGAGCTAAAGAAAGGAGTTATTCAGCACTTAAAGCCTCCTAAGAAACCTGACGCAAAGATAATTGATCTAACGGTGGACTCACCAAGACCAGTAAATGCTGTTGCCGGGTCCTCATTTCTGACTAGAACCGATACCGATCATCCTCACCTTCGGTGAGTCAGACGCCCAGGACACACGTCAACGACTCTAATGCAAGCCCAGCAAGCACGGGGGTACTCGAACGGGTCCCACAACCAGGCGCGCCAGAGTCGGGCATCGTTTTGACCGCCGCCACCAACGACGACAATGACGGTACCGATGTCCCGATCGGCATCGTCTCGCCTAGCCTCGGCCACGAAAACCGCCCAGGGACCGCATCCGTAGGGCCAAGATCGCCCACGACGTCCAACTCCGCCGTCGCGTTGTCTCCACCTCTGCTCTGGCAGCCGCGGAGAGTCTCGACACCCCCGCACTCCTTGCACTTACGACCCGCATACCACCGAGTCCCCACTGCGCACGCCAACAGCCCAGGGCTGGGCTCAGCAAGCCCGAACAAGCCCGAGCAAGCCCCGCAACCGGGCGTGCCAGTATCAACCGCCGCCTCGACCACCGCCGATGACAACACCGCACACAAAGATGATGATGCCGATATCGTCTCGGTCGCTCTCGACTTCAACAGCGGTGCGCACCGCACGGCATCTGCAGAGCCGACATCGGCCGCGTTGCTCATCACTGACTCCACCACCGCGTCGTCACCTCCCCCGCCTTGGCCACCCCGCCGCTCCTCGACTCCCACTCCCCTTCCCTTGCTCTCACCGTCCTTGGAGCACCAAAACATCGGCATACTCCCTGCAAGATCAATCTCGGGCTCAACAAACGCGGAGCTGCTCAAATGAGCGCTGCAACCAGCTGTGCCAGCGCCGGGCACCAACTCGACCACCGGTAATGACGACACCGCGCACAACGACGATGACGCCGATATCGGTGTCGTCTCGTCTGCGCTCGGCCACGAAGACCGTCCGAGCCGCACCGTGTCCGTAGGGCTGACATTGCCCGCACCATCCAACTCCCCTACCGCGCCGTCGTCATCGCCGCTGTGGCAACCGCGGCACCTCCCCGCTCCACCACCCCCTCCGCTTCTACGAGAGGCAGGGAACCGAGCCCTTGCTGCGCACACCGCGAGCTCAGGCTCGGGCTTGGCGAGCCTGAGCAGGGCGAAACAAGAACCAGAACCCGCCGCGCCAGAACCAGGCTCCGGCTCGACAACCGAATACGACACCACTGCGCACAACAACGATGGTACCGAGGTCAGAATCGGTATCGTCTCGGCTGTGCTCGACCACAAAAACCGCCCGCTCTGTGTGACGGAAGGTACAACGATGTCGATGGCCTCGGATATTGCTGCTGAACCATTGTCTCACTTGCCAGGGGAGCGACACGACTCTCGACCCCCGTCGTCGCCATCACACTCGGAGCATCAAAACGCCGGTGACAACTCACCTCGCGAGCTTACCATAGCATGTGGCTACTCGACGCCGAACTGGGCATCCATTCTTCAAGATCAGCTTCCGCTTCTGCTTCCACTCGTCCCTGAAGCCGCTACCCTGAATCGCGAGAACCCAGCAGCCGGACGCGTGCAAATGCGTGGCAACTCGACTCTATCGCAAGATCCGGTACCTCGCCGAATGCCCCCCATGTCAGTGCTTGTCCCCGATCGACGGCCCCGTCTTCCATTCCCGCTTGTAGACACCACCAGACCCACGAGCTCCAGCTATCAAAGTATCCCGAGGAGAGCTTCTCGATCACCCTCACCACCACGCGAAGGTCATCAAGAGTTCCCCTTCTCGCCGACGCGAAGCTCTTCCCGCTCTTCAAATTCCCCAATTTGGTTTGACTTTGACCCTAGCGGAGCACGCGCGGACATCGAAACAAGGTACAATCCGTCACCTGAAGCAAGAAATGGAACCCCCCCGTTGACATCGAATACAGAAACTAGGTATAGCACAGAAGCGGCTACCGAATAGCCAATACTATCGCTACGCCCAGCACTGCGACGAGTACGTTTTCCGCAGCCTGTCGCCCCGGCCAATCTCACAGACTCAAGTAACCCTGTAGACGACGGATCAGTACCCGCCGGCGCAACTGGTCAATCTGACCAAGAGGGTGGGGCTGAACGTGGACATGCAACTCCGCTGACGCAAACACGAGCAAGCCGGGAGCCAATCGACGGCGTACCGAATTTGGCAGCTTCAATGCCTCTCGGAATGCCACCGCTCGACGAATTCAGACCCCGGATCGAGGATCGAGAAGAAGACTACCTGCCCGAGTCCAAAATCAACTCGTCGACGGCCGACGAGGAGGAAGCTGAGCTGGCGCGGCTAGGAAACGACATGCGGCCTACCGAGCCTACGCCATCGATTACGCCTCCGCCGACGGATTTCGAGGGTCCGCCCCTTCAAAGGATGACAGATCCAGGGCACCGGTTCCCCGCTGGGACCGCGTACCTGTCGTCGGACGTGTGCTTCCGTCTGCATGTCAGTGAGGAAACTGACAGGAACTTCGAGGACTGGCTGATGCTTCGCGCAGGGTTTATGGCCCCGCACCTCCCGGGAATCAGTATAAATACGGGTGGACGTGCTCGGTATGGGCACGCTTTCATCCGGTTCTACCCCGAGAGCGTACCTCCGTCGCACTTCGACTCACTACACACACTCGCCATCAACATGATGATGAACTCACTCAAAACCACTGGCGCTGCCGCCCCTGACATCAACACGTCCGTACCTGCCAACCTCGCAATGCTTGCCGATCTCGCCGCCGCCGTCAGTCAGGCTCAAGCTCAGATCCGGATCGATGCCAACGGACACGCGCCGCCTGCCATCGCGGACTCTCAGCCAGTCGCAGAAGCCATCCGCCTGGAAGAGGAGGGATCCCCATCCTGTATGAACACGTGTACCTTGCTATCCGCAGGAAACACTAACCGGAAAACATGTCCAGCCCTGCCGAAATGTATTATGCACGACGACGAGGACTACCGCCCCAGCGTGGGTTTCAAAGTCCCGCCGCCCCACGGCAACTGGGGTGCATGCGGTCGACGCCGAGGGCGCGCAGCCACACCGTACACAAAGAAGGGCAAGGGCAAGGGGAAGGAGAATACCCCGTCGCCGATCCCGGGCCCACGCTTTACGCCGAAGAAGGTCTTTACTCCGACACGCAAGTCTCCTGGCCTGATCACGCCCGAGTCGCACCGCCGTCCCGGAGTCTCATACACTACAGCAGCACACATCGTCAAACGGCCGACTCTCGCTAACCTGGTCAATGGTGCCGGAGGTGCCGGCTCGCCGCCGTACGCCGTCCACTCCCCTTCTCCGGGCTCGGGCCTGTCGTACCCGATCTATCGCCCGTCGCCCGCCAGCAGCGGCGGTATCTTCAAAAGTATCCAGCGGACTATTGATCTCTCGAGTCCGACACTGTCACCGCGACGCACTGTCGATCTGCCGAAGGCCCCCGAACTGCCGCGGAGCTCCTCACCCGCGGTATCGGCTACATCCAAGATGGACACGGATGAAGACATCCCTCCGCTCATGACCGTCAGCAGCAACTCTACGCCAGATTCGAAAGGCCCTCCCACACCGCAGGTTAGTCCGAAGCCTGCGCGCGGAAGGATCTATGTTATGACGGGAGCTGAACTTCGTCGGCAGGCGTACGGTCCCAGTCCCAAGAAGAAAACCGCCCCTCCTGCGAGGCGCGAGACTGCTACGGATGCGGTGTGGCAGTCATCGTTCCGGCAGGCCTTCCGCCTTGGCCAGTCCGTCGCAACGTTCAAGGCCGACAACGAAGCCCGCATGAACCAGGAGAAGCAGGCGAGACCCGAGCCCACCGGCACGATCTACGCCCAGCTGTCGAACGGGACAGTCAGCCGTTTCCCATACTACCTGCCTGCCGCACCCACTCCGATTCCCACTCCCGTCGACCACGCACCGCGCCCGGCTACCTCTCGTGGACCTCCGACCAACAGGCCGACTTTTGATGCTGTGGGAGTTTATCGTCACCTGCACGCCGCGCAGGCACCCCCGCCGACTACTCCCCGTCTGGGACCTTCGGGACAGATGCCACCACCGCCGGCTCCACGTCCAGCCTCGCGCACGGCTCCGCGACTCCAAGCCGCAGTGGTACCATGGCCGGGCCATGCTCCGGCATCGAATGCATCTGCCGGCTCTGATTCTGGAGCTGCACTTTGCGGCCCGATTTTGCGCCAGATTGTTCCGCCTCCGGTCGCGATGGCCATTCCGTACCCGCCCCCGCCAGTTCCGACTGCCGCTACACCAGCCATGTACCCGCTCCCGCCCAATGCTCTCGTGCCGCCGCAGGTCGCAGCCATCATCGTGGAGAACATGCGGCGAATGCACATCCACCAGCATAATCTCACGAGTGCCGTGAACGGCTCGGCCTCGCACCTCAGCAGCCTCGAGCGGCTCATTCGGGACTCAAACGGGGAGGTATATGACTTCCTCACGCGGGTTATGCAGAAGGTAGAAATCCTCGAGACCATCATCGAGGGTTTTTAATTAATTATGCACTCCTCATTTGGAGGAAGATGCTGTCGTGTAGGTTAAATATTAGAATCACGGACTCTAACGGACTTTATTCCCGCTACACAAAAGTCTCTGTAGATACATATAAATGTGTCACTTTGCAGATATCATACCCGTGTAGTCAGGATGTTAAACTAGTGTACGAGCAATCTGATATATACCATTGCTCGTATATTGGTGACGTGATTCTGTATTCAGCCCACAATAGTGATCACTCCAATTATGCTTATCCTCATAACTCTACTGTTGGTACATACATGAACTTTGTAGATTCGGACATGGACTTGGAGGATGAGTCACGTGACTCAGAACTTGAACTCGAGTTCAAGTTCAGTGACGACGAAAGCTCAAGCTCTGACAGTAACTCAGATATGGAATCTGACGATGAAGACACGGCCTATGGGAGGTCACATGAGATAGATGATGAAGCCTATGTCAACCTGGGGCAAACCAGAGTAGTCCTAGGAAGGCATAGCCACAATGATGCAAACTGCGGCGAAGCACCGGCTTCTCAAGAAGGCTTGGCATATGGGATGTCACATGAGATGGATGATGAAGCCTATGTCAACCTGGGGCAAACCGGAGTAGTCCTGGGAAGGCATAGCCACAATGATGCAAAATGCGACGAAGCACCGGCTTCTAAAGAAGACTTGACAATGACAGATGAATCTGATGAATCTGATGTGCCGGAAGGATGGTGTATTTGGATCCATGCTGAAATCGACACGTCACGCAATGTGCCGCCAGGCAATGATCTAGCTGATGCTGGAACTGATGCAAACGTGTTTGGAGCTTACAAGACGGTAGATAAGAAGGTTCGGCCTGTGCCAGGGAAATTTCCAGAGCACGCAAGGGTGGAGCGGAGAATGCCACTGGACTCATTCATCCAACTACCACCGCTCCCTGAACAGCCACCTTCCTTTTCACCGACAGAAAAGCTCACGGAGGAACGGATGAACATACTCAATGTGAATGCAGATAATGAACTGACGGCAGAAGAGGAGAAGCTATGGAAGTATATCCTAAGCCGTAACGAGCGGGCTATCGCCTTCACTGAAGAAGAAAGAGGAACGTTTCGGGAAGAATACTTCACTGACTACATTATTCCAACGGTAGAGCACAAGGCATGGGCAGACAAGAATATTCCCATACCCCACGGAATCAGAAGTGATGTCCTCAAACTGCTTCAGGAAAAGATCAAGGCGGGCATATATGAGCCAAGCCAATCTGCATACCAGTCGAGGTGGTTCTGTGTTGTTAAGAAAAGCGGGAAGCTGCGGATAGTCCATGATCTGCAGAAACTCAACGCCGTTACTATTAGGGATGCAGGGACCCCGCCGGTCTTAGACGACTTCATCGAACTGTGATGAGAAGAGAAGGACAATTTATTTTCGCATTTTTCATTTCTAAATATGGACTTATCATTTTCCTTTTCCCACCTTTCCTTTTCCAAAGTCACGTGACCTTCAGTGGCAGCAGTACAGCATCATTGACACTGCCCTGCACTGCCTTGCACAGCCTTGCACAGCCCTGCACAGCCACCGGAGTTTTGTTCCGCTTACTCATGAACAATGACTCGTTATTCCTTCTAACTCCTTGATTCATAATCCTGACCCACCTAAGTGGGTCGGTCTTACTCATCCTTGTGCCCTGCATGTGATTCTCTTGTACTATTCTTGGACCATGGATTTGCGTATATAAGACCCCTGTAGCTCGCCCTAAGTCCCCATCTCGACCTCTTGTGTCTTGGGGACTTAGGTGAGTAACCGTCTCTGTACTAGAT